CCTTAGCATTTCAATCACACTATCACTGTCCAGGTCAGGTGTTTGATAATATATCCCTACTGCTATGTTCTTATTAGAGCATGGAATTACTATCCATAGTTATTCTATGAACATGTTGATTCATTTAAGATTTTTATTTCATTTGATTCTACATTATCTTTCGCATATAGTGCCACTCCACCACCCACACGACCTATTCTGTCCTTCCAATATATTTTATATCCCGGTATGATTGTGTCCCACTGATTGTCCTCATTCCACAAGGTTTCTGTGATGCCTATTATGTCAATCTCCTCCCTTAATACAAGGTGCTCTAGTTCACCCATCTTGTTATTTAGACTTCTAGCATTTGTGTAGAAGCACTTTAAAAAAATTGCCACTGTTTATTCGTCTGACCTTCCCTGGTGTATTAGATTTTTGTATATGTGATTGTTTGTCTGATCTGGCCCATACTTTATCATCTCCCCTCCTCTATTTCTGACTAAAACCTAGAGAATCTCCATCAATGGACTCTCCTCTAAAAGAAGTCTCCGTCTGATCCACGTGCTCCTCTGCACCAATTGGCTTTCCCCCATCTCTTAGTTTAAAAACTGCTCTACAACCTTTTTAATGTTTAGTGCCAGCAGTCTGGATTCACCTTGTTTTAAGTGGAACCCATCCTTCCTGTATAGGCTCCCCCTATCCCAAAAGCGTCCCCAGTTTCTAATATATCTAAACCCCTCCTCCCTACACCATCGTCTCATCCACGCATTGAGACTCTGAACTCTGCCTGCCTACCTGGCCCTGCGCGTGGAACTGGAAGCATTTCCGAGAATGCCACCATAGAGGTCCTGGATTTCAGTCTCTTTCCTAGCAGCCTATATTTGGCCTCTAGGATATCTCTCCTACCCTTCCCTACGTCATTGGTACCTACATGTACCACGACCACCGTCTCCTCCCCAGCACTACACATAAGTGTGTCTAGATGCCTCTAGAAATCCGCTACCTTTGCACCAGGCAGGCAAGTGACCAGACGGTTCTCCCGGTCATCACAAACCCAACTATTTATGTTTCTAACGATTGAATCACCCACTGCTAACACCTGCCCCTTCCTAACTGGCATTCCCTCCCCCTCAGAGGTATCCTCAGTGCGAGAGGATACCGCAACATCCTCTGGGAGGAGGGTCCCAACTACGGGATGGTTTCCCTCTGCTCCCATTGAATGCTCTGTTCCCTTGAGACTTTCATCCTCCTTAAGAGCACTGGGGCTCTCAGACTGGAGGTGGGACAGTACTACAGTGTCCCGGAAAGTCTCATCAACATAGCTCTCTACCTCCCTTAGCTCCTCCAGTTCAGCCACTCTGGCCTCCAAAGCCCGAACTCGGTCTCTGAGGGTCAGGAGCTCCTTGCAATGGGTGCACAAATACGCCACCCGACCACAGGGCAGGTAATCATACATGTTATACTCGACACAATAAACAGGATAGCCCCCACTCTGCTGCTGGGCTTCTGTGTCCATTTTTCTAATGAATACGTTTAAGTATAACCTGGGATTCTTTTTAAACCTCTGGAATATAGATTATTATAAGAGTTATGTCTTAAAGAAGGTGAGAAGTCACTAGTGCCCTCTAGCCTCCCCCTCTAAACTCCCTCTCCAAACTCCCTGTTAGCTGTTTCTGTTCACAAGCTCCCTGGTTGCTGAGTCACAGGATTATATAGCTCTGGTAGCCCCTCCCCCTGACTGAGGCTCAGCCAATTAACAGAGGCTTCTAGATTTCAAACCTTTTAGAAGCTCCTTCAAACAAACAAAGCAAACAAACAAACCAGATGTACAGTCTAGCCATCTTTCTGCCCCTCTTACAGTCCATTATCCAATCTATATTCTCTTAGTTTGACTGGTCTGTAGAAAAAAGGCCACTTTTTCGGGGAAAAAAAACCCCTATAGTCTAGACACACCCTTAGATAGCAGTTGATCGCTCTACCTTCTCCATTCAACTCAGGTCCTCCTTTGTTGCTCGTTCCTCCTTGTGTTTCTTCCCTGTATCCGACTTCCTCACCTCTGGGCTTTGGTCACCATCCCCCAACGAACCTAGTTGAAAGTCCTCCTCACTAGGTTTGCAAGCCTGCCCGCGAAGATGCTCTTTCCTTTTAGTTACGTGGGTCCCATCTGTTCCTAATAATCCTTGTGCCTGGAACAGAGTCCCATGATTGAAGAAACAAAAGCCCTCTCTCTGACACTATCTGTACAACTAAGCATTTACTTCCTCAATTTGATGATCCCTACCTGGACCTTTTCCTTCAACTAGAAGGATGGACGGGAACACTACTTGCTCTTCAGATTCCTTGATCCTTCTTCCCAGTGCTACATAAATCTGCTGTCATTCTTTACCATCTCATTTGTTCCTACATGGAGAAGCAGGAAAGGGTAGCAATCTGAAGGTTTAATCACTTTTGGAGGACTCTCGGTCACATCCTGAAGGCAAGCTCCCCGCTAATCAGCACACTTCTTGAGATTGCAGGTCTGGAAAGCAGATGGATGACTTAGTCTCTCTTAGGAAGGAGTCCCCGACCACCACCACCCATCTTCTTCTTTTGGGGGTGGTGGTTGTGGAACCCCCGTCCCTAAGACTGTGTAGCCCATGCTTTCCAGTAGATGGTGTTCCCTTCTGATTTTTTTCTCTGAGAGGTCCCTGCCACAGCATTCTCCACCATAGTGCCCGTGGAGAGATCCTGAAAGTGGTTACTTACCTGTACAGGAATGGGGGATACTTGAGTTGGCCGCCTTCTTCTAGCGGTTACATGCTGCCAGTTCTCTACCTTGTCCTGTACTGCCCTGACTGGCTCTTCAGCCTGCTGTGCCTGCAGGATTAAACGCTGCCTTCTGTCGAGGAAGTCTTCATCCCCTCTGCTGGAACGTAGGGTCGATACTTTGGCCTCAAGTCCTGTAATTTTTTCTTCCAAAATGATGACCAGCTTGTGTTTAGTGCAGATGAAATCCCTTCTTTCTTCTTGGAGGAACACAAACATCACATATGCTGTGCAGGAAACAACAGCAGACCTATCACTATCCATACCTGCGTTCCTTCTATGAGATTCCTCAGATGTTATTCAATGCCTCCTTGAAGGGTAGGAGTGTAGCAAAAAGATTTTAAAGAATGGTGAGTGTAGCTCACCCCATTCCCACATACCTTCCTAACTCCCTCTCCAAACTCCCTGTTAGCAGTCCCTGGTCACTGACTCACTCCTTTATAAAGCACTGGACTGCCTGATAGCCCCTCCCCCTGGTTAAGGCTCAACCAATGAGCAGAGGCTTCTAGATTTCAAACCCTGATTAGGCGTTCACAGCTTCCACCTACCAGCCACAGCACACACTCCGTGGGGGGGAGGGGAAGAGGGAAGAAACCCCCCCCCCACACACACACAAACACAAGCTCAGCACACAGCAAGAAACCCCCAAACACACACTACAGACTGCCACTTCTCTCAAGGGTCCTGTATTAGCTCCTTCTCCACTTGGAGAACTCCCTCTCAAGCTCCCTGTTAGCAGTCCCTGTTCTCTTCCTCTTAATACAATGTCTTTTGCTTTTCTTCTCCGCTCATAGACTTTAGCACTGAAGGGACCATCATGATCATGATCATCTATTCTGTCCTCTCCATGTCACAGACCACAGAACCTCACCTACCTACTGTTGTAATACACCTACTACTTCTGACTGATTTGCTAACTGTCTCCCCAATCTACCATATCCTAATTCTCCTGCTTTTCATTGCCATTTCATTCTCTCTCAGGCCCACTGATTGCTGTCAGACTGGTTTCTCCACTTACACAAAGGCCTTCTCAGACATCTTTGGTCTGGTTGAAAACTAGTTGATAGTCATCTAGAAGGGCATATTTATACGAATTAATGGTTTCTGATAGTGGGGAGGAAAGCAGGACCTGCTCTAGGGAACAGTTCTGATTTGTTTTTTTGTTTCTGTTACTATATCCCTCCTTAGACTAGACTAACATGGACTGCTGGTTGGACCTCCCTGGTCCAGCACCCTTGGGACCTGACTGGACCCGAAGGTGGGAATTCACCAGACCTGGGGAGGTCCACTGCCACTGGCCTCCCAGTCTGCTGCCCTTCTGGCTCGGGCCCCAAACCTGCTGCCACTGGGTTCCAAGCCAGCAGGGCTTCCAGCCCTGGGAGACACTGATTCAGGAACATCCATGGCTGGCTGGATCACAGAGTCCCAGTTTAGGGAGGTGCAACCTGTATTTTATCCTGGAGATCTTGCTCTCCATCTTTAAAATAGCCATCTTCCAGCCACCTGAAAACTGGCTTAGTTTCTAACTGTTAACTGAGAAAAAGAAAGGACTGAGTTCACAAGCAGGTTTTGTGACATTCCTACAGACATTCTTTACACTTAAACTAAAAAACCTCTGACTTTGAGAAACCACTGTTGCTGAGCGGGTCTGGGTGCAACTCTGCTCTTTTCTACCTGATGTGCAGAATTATAGAAACCATGGCAATACTACAGTACCTCATATACATTTAAAACACAGACATAAGTCCTTCTGGCAAGAAACTGACAAACCTTTCTAGAACTGATGCTTAAAAGAATTACTTACACTTTCAGTTTCCTCTAACAAGGAGCTAACTGCTCTGGAGTTTCCTGGGAGTTTACCTCAGGACTTTTTTTTAATTTGTCTTACAATAGTGGTGCCTCTCCCCCCAGCCTTTTCAGAGCATGTGGGGGAAGGAGGCTAATGTCACTTACTATAGAGTTTCAGGAAAAATCAGTGTGGCTCTTTTTAAGATAGGGGAATGTAGGATTACCAGGTGTATGGTTTTGAACCGGACAGTCCAGTATTTGAGCTTTCTGTTCAGGAAACAAATTGAGAAAATATCAATGTCTGGCATTTTCTAAATAAGATGTAATGTAGATTGTGATGTAATGTTAGGCAGCTTCTAAATCCGGGTTTTTTAATGTACTGTCTTTTAACTTTACCTATTATATCTTTCTATGTTTTTTTCCAGGCGAAAGACCCTTCAAATGTCCCTTTGAAGGCTGTGGAAGGTCATTCACAACATCCAATATTAGAAAAGTTCACATCAGGACACATACTGGTGAAAGACCCTATTACTGTACAGAACCAGGATGTGGCAGAGCATTCGCCAGTGCAACCAATTACAAGAACCATGTCAGAATACATACAGGTACATAGGTGACATTTTGTTTGAAGAGCAATTTGCTTGTGAGCTCCTGTGATTTTTCTCCTTGGTACATACATTATTTCTGCATATCAGAACTGGGTCAGAAAATTTCTTATAGTGATGTCACAATTTTTTATTTTAACCCTTTTCTCTTCTTTGACCAGCCATAAATGGTCATTATAGAGTCTTCCGTCAATGGAGGACCCCTGCGGTCAGCACTGTCCCTGGGAAGGCATGGGGCCAGGGACAACCAGCCCTCACTCCAGGCTCTGCCCTGCCCCACCTCTTTCTGCTCCTGCTACACCCTAGTCCCTTCCCCCAAGCTCTACCCTTGCTCCATCTCTTCACACCCTTGCTCCACGCCCACTCTGTCCCTTCCCCAAACCCATTCTCCATAATGACACAACCCGGGGGATTACCAGAGGGCCTAGCACTGGCAGCAGTGGTCAGGCCTGCTCCTGCACTCACTGGATGGCAGGAAGCAGAGCAAGCTGGCCCCAGCCTGCTGTACTCCTAGCAATCTCCTAAGCCATCCTGGGCCCTGTAGGGCCTCCCAAAACCTGGAGCCTGGGGTGTCCACCCCGCACTGTACTGTGGATGGGACAGTTCTGTCAGCAGTAGACTGGTTAGCCACAGAAGACAACACCAAATGACCAAGCTTCAGCTTAAGTGGAGGTGTGACTTTCCTATCCTGCTGTTAACACACATGAACAAAGGACTTCATCCAAAGCATTTTGAAGCCTGTAGAAAGACTTCTGTTGATTTTTTTTTAAAATGGGTTTTGGATCGAACGCTTAGTCCCTGAGGTTTGCCTTTATTAAGTAACGTAAAGCACAAACTTCAGCCTGAGGCTGACTGTTCTTAGAATTTTTGTCCTTGTCCCTATATCCCCCTTCTTGGTGGTAAGAATCAAAACCTTCTGGACCTAACAGGATTCACGTGGCCTAGCTGTTAGGGTGAATCAGCAGAAATATCTCTGCATACATTTGCAGGGTTCTAAAACCCTACCTATATCCATGATTTGTTGTATCCTGCTTTTCATTGCTAGAAAAAATCAATAATCTCGAGGCTCAAGATTTTGTATGTCTTTTAAACTGGTTTTTGGGTTTGAGTTTGTGTTCTATTGATTTTAAATGAAGAATATCATTTCTATTTAACCTTGATCATTTTAATGTATAAATCTCATAACATTCCTGTTGAGCTCAAGAAACTGAGGTTTAGGACTCTAACTTACCAGAACCAAAGGTATGCTGTAGAAAATAACACATTTCATCTTTGAGGAAAAGTGGAGGTCTTCCTATAAAATCAGCAGGGGCAGCTAATGTAAAGAGTTAGGACATAATTGTCAAGACAGGGCCAAAGGGACGGTTATGCTGGCATCTTGCCAGGAGCTTGGAGGGCCGCCTATTGTTTTCACATAGGGAAGCAGATATTCACCTTTGTATGAATATCTGCTGTATGAAAATGAGGAGTTCCAACATGTATACTCCATCTTGATCTGCATGGACTTCTTAGATAGCATGATAGCTCCAGCCTATTGTAGCAGCACTTCGGTATTAAAGAGGAAGACAGCCATGAGTTGTGTTGTGGCCACTGCTGTGTTAAGGAACAAAGCTGGAGAATGCCTGACTGACCTGGGTGGTAGTAAAGCTGTGTCATTAAATCTCTGTGTAAGTGGCAGGATATTTGTTCTCCTGGAATATCCTGGTTCTAATTTCCTTCGTCCTTTTTCTCTTTTCCTGTAGGTGAGAAGCCCTATGTCTGCACAGTTCCTGGCTGTGACAAACGTTTCACAGAATATTCCAGTTTATACAAACATCATGTTGTACATACTCATTCCAAACCGTACAACTGCAATCATTGTGGGAAAACATACAAGCAAATTTCCACACTTGCTATGCACAAGCGGACAGCACACAATGACACAGAACCAATTGAAGAAGAGCAGGAAGCTTTCTTTGAGCCACCCCCAGGTTTGTGTTTGGTGTTGCCAGTCTCTGACCTTCCTCCCATAGTAGCAAAATAAAACATCATGTACATGTACATACTCCTTATGAATATCAGTATTCCTCAGAGCCAGGGGAAATACAGAATAGGTGTTATATTTTCTTAAATAATACTTTGCACTAACTAGTACTTTTTTATCTGAGAGTTCTAATGTGCTTTGCAAACACTAAGTAAACATCAAAATACTCTTGGGAGGCACAGTAGTCAGATATTACTATAGACAATTTATAGATGAGTAAACAAGCATTGAGAGAGTGATTGACTTGTTTATAAAGCAAGTCAGTGGCAGAGTTTAGAATAAGAGAGAAGCCTTTCTGTGCTCTCACCATTAGATCACACCCTCTATTTATATATTGAAGCAGGCCTGAGGATGGACAAAAATGCTTACATTGCATCTTAAAGAGTGTTTTATAGTACTTAGAAGATTATGTGTGAGAGTCTGTGTTGTGATATTAAAGGCATAGCCCTGCAGAAGGGAGAAAAAAAGGTAGCTGCACTTTGAACCCTCCTGATTTTGAGTTACTCCTGAGACCAAAGTGAACTGCCTTAAAGTTACAACAGTGTTCCCATGCTGCTTTATGGGTAATGGGGCAGTTGACAAAGCCCATAGTGCTATGCTTTAGGGGTCTGCCTTCCAGCACGGCTCATACAAGACGTTCATTCAGTATTGGCAAGCAAATTTTTTATCTGTAGGAGCACTATGTAGAAAACGGTCTTTATGGTACTTTTACATACCAAATCTAGTGAGTGTTGTAAAGATCAGATTGATTGAATGGAGGCGGGGGAGACATTTTCTTGTTCCAAGAAAACACATATAATTTTTTACATTCTTTTTTAGATGGGGTTGTATATAGGGTATATGTAAATAAGTGATCTATTCTGACTGGAAAAGCAGCTTTTCTATTTGTATATGGGAGACTTCAGTGAAACCCCTGTTAAGTAAATTGCCTCATTCTGATTGCCACTTACAAAGGAAAGATTAGAATGGAAGATTTTTATTAGCCAAGGTTAAACATTTATTAAGAAAATATACTGTTATATCAGTCCTCACACAATGATGTCACTCTATTCCTCTGAGGTTCAGTGTGTTTGTTAATGAATAATTTTTTAATGGGCTGCTGATTGTGTTTACATCAAATCCTTAGTATGTAGAAGTTAATGTTTAATTAAACAAATCACAGTATTGTTTGTTACCCTTTTAAATATTCTCTTTACTTATAAACTAAGTAAATATACCTTTAAATACAAAAACGACTTTGCTTTTCAGTGTATAGATAGGATTTATATGCAATATTCCCCATTTAAAAAGTATGCTCCAGAGCTAGTAAAACAGTCATTTGGAGCATTTTGCTTTGATTTCATTATTAGTTTTCACTTCTTTCTCTCCCTCTCCGTCTCTGTCCCCTCCCCTATTTACAGCCTAGAATTTAAATATTTTTATCTAGAAAGTTGCTTTTTTCTGTGTAGCTTTACTCTTCTTACTATTAATATTTGCCATGTGTAACACATTGCCCTGCCTTCCTTTTATGAAATAGGTCAAGGTGAAGATGTTCTAAAAGGCTCCCAGATAACCTATGTGACAGGTGTAGAAGGGGAGGATGTCGTTTCTGCACAGGTTGCTACTGTTACTCAGTCAGGGCTGGGTCAACAAGTTGCATTAATTTCTCAAGATGGGACTCAGCATGTAAGTATTTATTCTGGCAAAGAATTTGCTAAAAAGAGGACATTCAGAATTAAGGCTGTAATTTATTTTCAGATACAGGCAGTCCCCGGGTTACGTACAAGATAGGGACTGTAGGTTTGTTCTTAAGTTGAATTTGTATGTAAGTCGGAACTGGTACATAGTGTAGGGGAAACTCTAGCCAAACATTTCTCCAGAGCTCAGTTTTATTCTCCCACACCTCACTTCCCTCAGTCCTTTATTCTCAAGCTGAGGTGTCTTCTGAGAAAAGCTGCTCCGCGTCTCCCTGGTCTGCTGGGGGGAAGCAGCTAGTGCGGGGTTGCCTCACCCCGTTTGTAAGTAGGGATCTGATGTAAGTCAGATCCATGTAACCCGGGGACTGCCTGTACTGCATTATGCTTGTTTACTGGAGAGTTAAAATCCATTAGTAATGGATGTTTATATCTATTAGGGCCAGTTCTCACAGCTGGATCAAAATAAAAATAAACGTAGAATAGAAGTGGGCTTCCTGTGGAAAACATAGGTTGTTAGGTATGTTGGTATGAATACAAAGACATTTTGGCCTTCACAACATTGCCTGGCAACAAGTTCCACAGGCTGAATGTGGGTTGTGTGAAGAAGTACTTCCTTATATCTATTTTAAATCTATTGCCTATTAATTGAACCAAATGACTCTTAATTCCTATGTTATGTGAAGGAATAAAAAAAATAACACTGCCCTATTTACTTTCACTCTTTACCATTCAAGATTTTATAGACCTCTATCACAGCCACCCTTAGTCATCTCGTTTCCTAAGATGAACAGTCCCAGTTCTTTTAATCTCTGCTCATAAGAAGCTGTTCCATACCCCAATCAGTTTTGTTGCCATTCTCTGCCCTTTTCCAGTTCTAATATAACCTTTTTGAGATGGGATGACCATAAGGCATTATGATATTTTCTGTCTTCTCTCTTCCCTTTCTAGTGGTTCCTAACACTGTTAACTTTTTTGACTGCTACTGCACATTAAACAGATGTTTTCAGAGAACTGTCTGCAGTGATTTCAAGGTCTCTTGGGTGGGTGTTCATCCTGTATAGTTGGGATAACATTTTCTAGTGTGTATTACTTTGCATTTACCCAAACTGCAATTCTTCTTCGAGTGCTTGCTCATGTCCATTCCACCTAGGTATACATGTGCTGCGTGCTCATGTTCAGGAAGCTTTTTACCTGTTGGGTCAGCCAGGGAGACCCCTGGAGTGGTGCTGCTATACCAGCGCATATATGTCCCTGCTGGTCCTCCACCCCTTCAGTTCCTTCTTACCGTCCGTGACTGTTGCTGGAACGCTCAGTTTGTTCACTGCAAATGCGCCCTTAGCATTCGTTACCTTATGTCTGTAAATAGTTCAGTTTTGTAAATCATTAGATGCTTTGTAGCTTGTGAGTTAGTGTTATCTCAGAGTAGTTGTAGTTCGCACTCCATTCCCTCTGGGAGATAGGGGGAAGTGGAAGCCATGTGCAAGGTGCCAAAAGCCTATGCCTTGTGGGGACCCCCATCAAGAGTCCCTTAAGTGACTAGGAGAAGGACATTAGACTGACTCTTGTAAAACCTGTTGGTCCTTCAAACCTAAGACAAAGTGGGGGCGCAACTTGGCGCTCCAACCCATGGCCCCACACCATCTGTAAGAAATGCACTGGTGTCGGTGTGCGAGACAGGCACTACACTGAGACATTTGGCGGCATCGGGCCAATCTACGGCATCACGACACCGGTCCCAGTCCCCGACACTGAGATCAAAGAAGACGCAGAGAGGAAGGTCCCCATCAAGGGAGCAAGAGGTATGTCTGAAGGAGTGAGACCAGTAAGCGCCGCCCCTGCCTGGGCATGATGTTGCTCCTGTACCATGTAGGTCAAGCTCCACGTGGGCCAGTAATCCAGAGGTCCAGGATCTGTTCTTGGAGGAGGTCTGTGAACTCTCGACCCTGGGTACATTTGTTGAGGCCCGGGAGCTGATTGAGCTCATGGCTTCACCAAGCCCAGCACTGACGGGTGGGGACTCCCATCTGCACCATGCAGAAAGGCAACTAGCACTGAAGATTGGCGCCGAGAGACTCTCTACTACCGCTGGCCGTGACAATGGGCCCAGTACTGGCACCAGCACCTCTGGCAACACTGGCCCTGATGGGACAGCCTTCAACATCGGCTGTGGCTGGACCTCATGTGCCAGGGCCAGCACTGATATATAACATCATGTCACCACCGGCACCACACCGGGGGAAGCCGACTGCAATGGTGTGGCACATCCGGCACCGGGTCACTTCATCGCTGGCTGCACTGTCTTAGTCGGCATCCAAGTACACCTTAGAGCTGGATGCGGAGTTGATGATATGAACAGCATCTTTATTGCACAGCTGATCCCGGCAGTCCCGCTCCCCATACCGGTCACATTTATGGCACCGGTCACACTTGCAGCACTGCTCTGAGCATGCCAGTCTGCTGACATCCCAGATGTAGCTGCTGCAATGGCAACCAGCCCAGTGGCCCTTTTGGACCCCCTGGGCATACCACCAGACCCAGGGGCAGGGGTTTTCAAGGTCAGCCTCAGCTTCAGCCTCCGTCTCAGGCTATGTCTAGACTACATTCCTCTTTCAAAAGAGGCATGTAAATGAGGTAAATCGAAAGTGCAAATGAAGTGCAGATTTAAATATCCCATGTTTCATTTGCATATTTACATCTGAGCGCTTTTTCGAAAAAGGGTTTTTTGAAAGTAAAAGTGTAGTCTAGACATGGTTCTTTTGGGGGGGGGGGGAAACCCTTTTTTGAAAGAACCCATACCCATGCCCATCCTAAAAAAATCTATCCCACCAGCGCAGAAGTGTGTGGAAAGGCGGTACTTTGTGCTGCAGTTGGACACGAACATCTCATTGTCTACTCACCCCCTGGCTCCATTGTGGTGTAGGCTGCATTCCAGAGAGAGAGGCAGGGCCAGCCCGAGCCTACTCTCAAGAGCAGGGAGCCTACAAATCTAGACCTCTTGCGGAGGAAGGTTTGCGCCACCGGGGATTTACAGCGGAGGGTTGCCAACCAATAAGCAATGCTCAGCAGGTATGCCTATAACTCTGGGGTGGCTGTTAAGTTTGAAGACTAACTTCCTAGCAGCAGGAGTTTGTGGCTTTCACCGAGGAGGGCAGGGAGATGTCCCGTATAGCCCTCCAAGCTTCACGGGATGATGCTGACTCAACGACTTGGTCAATGGCCACAGGAATCGTGATGTGGCGAAACACGTGGCTGCAGGTGTTGGGCATCCAGCCCAAAGTTCAAACAATGCTGCAAGACCTGCCCTTTGAGGGGTCAGGGCTGTTTTTGGAGCAGACAGACAGTTGGCTGCAGAGCCTGAAGAACTAGAGGATGACCTTGAAGTCCTCAGGCATACATACTCGTGCCTCTCAACGTCGCCTCTTAAACCCGAGGTCACAGAGGCCTTACGAGCAGGGACCCAGACTAGAGGGTGGTAAGCGATATAATGGGCAACAAAGATAGGCCAGGCAAGAGAAGATGAAGGTTGACCCCTGACCAGGCCTCAGGGCTCTCTAACAACACCCACAGCACACAGTTGGGATTTTAAAGCTACACCTGAGGGCAGAGCAGCAGTTCCCAGAATAGATTGTCCCTTTGTGAACAGACTCTCCCCCTTCCATTGTGCGTGGTGCTCCATCACTATGGACTGCTGGGTCCTCGAAACAGTGGCAGTGGGATACTGTATCCCTTTCCTGTCCCTACCACCCCCTTTTTCCTGTCCCTCTTCAGGGACTCCTCTCACGAGTACCTCTTATGTCAGGAAGTCTCCTTACTCCTGTTACTGGGGGCGGTGGAAGAGGTTCAACACAAATTTTGGATAATGGATTTTTATTCCTGGTACTTCCTAATTCCAAAGTCCAAAGGGGGCCTTTGCCCCATCCTAGACCTTAGGGTGCTAAATGCTTTTATAAGGAAGTCGAGGTTCAGGATGGTGACTCTGGCCTCGATCATTCCCTCCCTTGATCTAGGGGACTGATATGCCCCCCCTCAACTTGACGCATATTTCCGTTATCCCTTCCCACAGAAGGTTTCTTTGTTTCACGGTAGGCACAGACCACTACCAGTTTACGGTCCTACAATTTGGCTTGTCCACTGCCCCCAGGATATTTACCAAGTGTATGGCAGTGGTGGCAGGCTTTCTCAGGAGGAGAGGAGTACAAGTCTTCCCCTACCTAGACAACTGGCTCATCAGAGGTCGCTCCAGGAGCCAGGTGTTGAGACACATAGATCTAGCCAGAGAGACCTTTTCCTGTCTAGGGCTTCTGGTGAACGAAGTGAAATCTATTCTCATCCCTATGCCAGTAATAGAATTTGTGGGGGCAAGACTGGATGCCACAACAGGGCACGGTCCCTTCCAAACACCAGGTTTGCCGTAATGAGGGACATTATTTTGAGACTCAAAGATGCACCCTTGACAATCTCAAGAAACTGTATGAGACTGCTGTGTCACATTGCAGCACTCACGTACGTCATGCAATACGCCAGGCTACATCTATGCCAGGTGCAGTCATGGCTGGCGAAGGTCTACAGCCTGGCCCGCGCTCCCATCGACATGGTGGTGACTGTCTCACCTGAGGACTTGAGCACACTGGACTGGTGGCTGCAGGAGGGGGAGGTGTGTGAAGGAGTCCCCTTCAGCTTGCAGCCCCCTCGATGCAGCTGGTGACGGACGCCTCAGATACAGGATGGGGAGCCTACTCAGATGCGTTCACGATGCAAGGCAGAATGGTCACAACAAATAAATGTCTGAGATCTGAGGGCAGTGCACCTGGAGTGCCAGGTGTTTCTGTCCCTGCTTAGGGGCAATTGTGTCTCCGTCCTGACGGACGACACGGCAGCGATATTTTATATCAATTGCCAGGGTGGTGCTCAATCCTCTCTCCTGTGTCAGGAGGCTGTAGCCCTCTGGGACCTCTGCATCACTCAGATCATCCACGTTCAGGCCACCTA